GGACTTCACAGTACTCAAAAAACAGTGTCTTGCTGTGGTGGACCAAACAGCTTATCTTGTCTGTACACATCTCAATACGTGGATTGGGAATGGAGTCTATCTTGGTCATGGCATTTACTTTCCAGTTAGTAATATGGTACCATGTTGTCTTGCCTGGTTTTGGTACCAGAGCCTTGAGGAGACCTTCATCTTGTCTGGAGCTCAACTACATTGGTGTTCAGCATTGACTAGATTTCCTGCCTGATCTATACTACATTACCAGAGATCGGCAGGTTGGGTTTTTGACAAATTGTTCGGGGTTTTCCCTCATCCCCTTCATGGTCTGTTAGTGGGCATACCCCATTAAAGATTATTCGAGTAGATCTGAGTGGCCACATCTTTCCACTACTTGGGCCAGTGTTGCTAATGGTGCACCTAAATACAAGAGTCAAGTGCCTGCCAGATGGGGAGAAAATGGGGAAGCTTTCTGTCTCCTTACCATTGCTAAGTACCCCCAAGTGTATCCACCATTTGGGAGACACTCTGCTTGACTGGGTTCTGGGTTTAATCAAGTTTTAACCGTACTTGGATTCCCCTTCTGGTAGGCCCATAGTGTTCTGGGAATATTACGTTTCCCTGACCAATTTTGAGAGTTGGATAGGAGTGGTTTCCCAACTGGTCCCATTTCATTTCTGACTCTACTGCCCTCAAATGCCCGTCCAGCTCCTTCTGCACTACACAATAGCTCAGCAAATAGCTTAAGTAACTCTTTCACCATATGTGTGTCTTTCTGAAACCTTACCTATTCTTCCTCCAAAGTCAAAAAATTAGTGCCAATCAGCTAAGCAGCCTGCTCACATAGGAAGGTTACAGATTTCTCTCAGTTTTCATTTTCTTGTGTGGTGTGGGACCTTTTTGCAGCCCTGTTCTGTCCCATAGAAAGTTTTAAAAAATTTGTGGGATGCAGGCTTCACTAGCTGGGCCACTTAAAGATGATTTCAAACAATAGCAGGTTCAGGTATATGATTGATTCAGGTTCAGCCACTCAGCTAACAAGGTGGGTTTTTGTCATCCGAGCCAAAACCTATCATGTCTTTGGGGCAGACAACGTGGAGTTGTTAGTACTACGTCTAGCAATAATGGATTTCGGTGGTGTCCTTTGTTCAGAACTGACTGAGGTGGACATCTCATTGATTTGGCTGGAATATTCTAACAATGCAAATACTGTAACATCCCAAGAGGAAGATCGAAGCTTTATTTGTCCTTTTGTAATTGCTGGAAGTACCCGGAAGCAGTCAACTTCCTCATTATGTTTTAAAATTTTTTAAGTATGGCAAGAGTCCATTTTAAAAGTAATTTAAACAAGATAAATTCATTTTTAAAAAGGCAATTTAGGATATTTCTCTTCCTGCTTCTGGGCATTACAGCATGCGAGGTCTTACACATCATCTAACTGCTATACTCAATAATAGTGCAGTTACATAAAATGAGGATTGTCCCTTCTGGTTGCAAAGGTTACATTGTGCCAGACCAAACCTGACTGAAAGAACCTGCACCTCTTTGTTAAGTGCATTTATTGATCATGTAAGAAGTTGCATTTTCACACTGGGAAAATGATTTAGTTGAGGAAGACTAAATCAATTATCTAATATGAAAACTCGGAAAATTCACAGTCTACACGTTTCACAACAGGGAAAGCAATATCAGCTTTTTTTAAGAAAACTACAGGTATTCATCCTTGATTAAAAGTTTAGAAAGCCCTGAAAACAGTTCAGTGTAATAGCCTCACACCTAGCATTATTGATCTGAAAATTGAGTCACATATTTGAATGTGTTTTCAATCTAATAAAATATTTTGATTATATTTTAATAATTGAAGTTCTTTGTTTTCACTTGGAACAATTCCGGGGAAATGCATTAATCTGACAATTACACCAGAGACCCTCAAGGGATTAGATCTGGGCTTGTACACACAAAACCAACACTAGGAAAATAAGCTAAGTTGATAAAACAATAACCACCGAACACCCCCATCCATTCCTCAATCCATTATAAATACTCTTAGAGAGCAATAAAAACTTACAGTTTGTGATTTCTTCTTTTTCTTTTTTATTGCTCTGAAGAAACCCTTTCCCTTTTCCTTAGTTTGTTCAGGGGGATTTATGTTAAGATTCTCGGTACTTTTCCTGAAATTGAGAACAATACGTTTATCTCCATAGTTACGAGAAACTTAATGGCACCGTATGAATTGGACAAATGACTAGATAATGTTACTGTTGGAGATGCTAGAGGGGCAACAAATTTTAAGAATTAACTGGGGTGTAACTGGTCTACAATAGCAGTACAAAATGGGTTCAAAACAAATCAGCAGCTTATTTTTCAATTCGACGTTATCTTCTTGTATGGAACAATAGTTTATAGCTTTTTGTGAACAAGTGGCATGGTGGCTCAGGGGTTAGCACTGCTGCCTCACAGCTCCAGGAATTCCAGCCTTGGGTGACCGTCTGTGTGGAGTTTACATGTTCTCCCTGTATCTGTGTGGGTTTCCATCAGATGTTCCAGTTTCTTCCCACATTGCAAAGATATGCAGGATAAGTGGAGTGGCCATGCTAAATAAATTGTCCGTAGTGTCCAGGGATGTGTAGGCTAGATAAATAGTAGTAGCAAATGTGGGGATAGGATGCTCTTTGGAGGGTTGGTGCAGATTTGATGGACCAAATGGCCTCTTTCCACACTGTAGGGATTCTATGAGCCATCGTGCCATCACTATAATTCTAAGGTTCACAAACATTTATCCTGATGTCATGGCTGTTTTTGCTTGTCATAAAATTACAAATCTTGGCAATAATTTATAAATACATGAAGGAAAGAAACCAGAATGTCACAAAGGACTTGGCTGCTGATTTGCCACAAATCAATTTTGCACTGCTGGCATTCTGCATTTCATTCAAAAGCTTTTCCATCCAAGTAAACAAGTTGTGTTTTTTTCGTATTTCTACCGTAAAAAACCATGAGATGGTAAAATTGAAATGATTCTCATTTTACAACTAGTCATATCAGTTCAGTGCATGTAAGCCAAACACACTTTTTCTTGCATCCTTCCTGATATGAAGATTAATAACAGAGAATGGAAGTTTGATAAGGAAAATTAGTATACCATGATATGGCTTATAACACAGGGGGTCTTATGACTTTTAAAATCCTGAAGAGAATCTGACATGAATGGCAAATTCACTTTAATTGCATATTTATTTAAATTACATGTGAAATTAGCAACTGTACTTGTGCTGAATTCGAATGAACAGCACTCAAATGCTAAATGGATTCACCGTGACTGTCTGCTTAACTTTGAAAGAAAATCTGCCGAATCCTAGAAAAACACTATGTATAAATGACATTACACAGTTAATGAAGAATTTCCAGGAATGTCACTGCAATTATGACAGCCAATTGAAAAAGACTGAGGGGAATGGAAGTTTTCTGCCTGGACTAGTTGCCACTTTCTGCAATCTGTCAGCTCAGCTCAACCCAAACCGTCCCGACAATCAAAAGTCGTGTTGACCTATTAAAAGGAAATATTTTTCTTAAAATTTTGCTTCAATTCCATATTAGATATTTGATTTCAGGAAGAACACACAATCAATAAGCAGGCACAGACACAAGGGACTGAAACTAACAAAATCAGGAATATACTACAGCACTACATCATCCAGCTATAACATTTCACTTCTTGGACCCTGACATCCGCATTATATCAGATTTCTACAGTACAAGAACTAGCTCTTAATTACCTCCAAATATCACCTTGAACAAAATGCTAAATTAAATGAAAATATTCAGGACAATACACAAATTCTCTTTCATTGCCAATGTGAGTGTCTGTCAATTTCTGATCGTGTCTCTACACAATTATAATTAAACTGTGTAATCTCAAAAAGATAATTGATTCTACGGAATCACTATCCCAAGAAACTAATGTCACAGCTTATTTGATAAATATCTGACAGGTCTGCTATAGTGGACGGAGAACCTAAACAGGACCAGGCCATTTGGCCCCTCAAGCTTGTGTTGTCATTCAAGATGATCAAGGTTTCTCTGACTGTGGCCTCAACTCTAGTTTTGCCTGACCCCATAACATTCGACCTCTTTGTAAATAAATTCAATGACCAAGCTTTCACTGCTCTCTAAGATACTGAACTTTGAAGATTAATGACTAATTAAAGACTAAGATTAATTGAGAAAAGAAATTCCCCTTCAGATCAGTTTTAAATGGAAGATACAGGGTGGGGTGCCGTGGCAATAATGTGGTCTAGTAATCCAGAAGTCCAGACTAATATTTTGGGGACAGTCCACCTTGGTAGATGGTGAAATTTGAATTTAACAAAATCTGGAATTAAAAGCTAGCCTTCAGCTAACCATGTAACCATCACCTACTGTCATTTTAAAAAAAAACATATGATTCGATTAATGTTCTTTTGGGAACGAAAACTACTAACCTTATCCAGTCTGGCCCACATGTGACTCCAGACTCTCAGCAATATGGTTGACTCAAATTCCGTCTGGGCAATAAATGTCAGCTCAGCCAGTGATGGCGACATTTCATGAATGAATAAAAAGAAAGCTTATTTTGACACTGTGGCCTGTATTCTAGATTCCTCCAAAGAAACATCCTCTCTGCACCTACACTTTCACACCCCCTCAGATTACCTTTCATTTTTTCTGAACTCCAATGAATTTCGGCCCAGCTTGCTCAATGTTTTCTTATGTCACTCCTTAAATAAGGAGCCTAAAACTGCACATTGTACTCTTGGTGTGGTCTAACTAATGATCTGTATAGTTGTGGCAAAATATCTGTTCCGGATCGTCACAAATGGCCCGAAAAATGCTCAGATTACCTCAAAGATATTTCAAAAATTAGAGCAACAGGTGAAGTTTGCTCTTTCACACTGCTATGAGGTAGCAATATGTGGTATTTTCCATTAACAGAAGATGGTTGTTAAACTGAATAGATTTTCTGACTATCACACAAATGGCTAATTATGATGCATGAATTTCAGTGCTGGTACATAGGCTGTGCTTCTCAATGTCTGGCAGATTGTGAACACAGTTGAAGGGATGTTCAATTTGAAACAATCAGCCTGTGTTTGCAAAACTCAGATTGTAATGTTGAACACTAGATTTGATTCCATGATTGAATTCTTGTTGAATCACCCTATGTTTGATAAGAATTACACTAACCAATTTAGGATGATCAGTTGGGCTTAGAAAATGGCTAAGCCTACTCAAAGCTACATCTTTTCACACACAGGCACCTCTCCTCTGTAAGGCTAATGGAAACTTATCTAACCATATGTCCTTTTTAAATTAAACAATGGCATGAATAACAGAAGTTCCCCTTGTGCATTCTCCATAGTAATGCATCAACCAATCATCTTGCCAACCAATCAGCACCCTTCCCTGAAGGACCATAAATTATTGGTCCCTTTGAAATTTGGTACTCCTGCTTTTTCCAGAAGAGTGTAAGACTAGAGCTATGATAGCTTGTTTCTTTTCTCAGCAATAACTAAGTTTTGTACTATGAAGACATTAAAGTTAAACTTAGGTTTAACATTAAAACTTAACCTCTAATTGTAATTATATAGTCCTTGAGTGCAGCAAGCTGTTTAATTCCATTATTAATTCCACACACAATAGGACACTGCAGCACATAATTCTATATACACTCTGCATTTATTACTTTAGTTAAAATTTTCTTCCTTTCTAATGGCTGCAGAAATTCAGCCAATATTCCTGAGTAGCATCACATTTACTTTTGCATGTGTGCATTGCATTTTAAGTTCTATATCAACACACAGAGAAACAAGGTGAAAGACAGCGGTTACTTACCAAAGATCAAAAGCTGTATGTCTTTTGGAGTGTTTTGACTTGGAGTTACTGGCAATTGATACATTAATTGGACCTCTCTCACTGAATGTGCCTTCCAATGAAGAATAGTCTGGTCAAACAATAACATTATTAAATAGTGCATTACCATCTTGTCCACTGATCAATGTGCAGTGACGAATGTGCTCTCGCTTACCTTCATAATAGCTTCGTACTCGTCTATCCCTGGGCACTGTATCAGAAAACACATACTTATTTTCTTTTGTGGATAGACCATCTTCTAAGTGAATATCATGATATCCTGCAGGCTAAAATGTAAGCATATTAGAATAAATGTTACAACTTGCAAATACCATAGATCAGAATCTGACTGCGATGTCTAATAGAAATTCAAGCATCATGGATAAATCGTTTAAAAACACAAGAAGAAGAAAACAATTATATCTGAAGTATCTTATAATATTTCAGTTCATTTTTTATAAAAAATACTGCTTCTCATTCCAGGTTGTACTAGACTTCAGGGATGAATCACTTAGATTGCATTGCCTGGATCACATATCATTAGCTGCAGAAATAATGAAAAGTGGAATTTACATACTAAATCCTGTATAAATTTAAAAGCAGAAATATAATTTGGAACATTAGATTTGCAGAGGATGAAATTGCTGCAAGTTTGTTAATAAATTCAACAATGAAATGTCAGAACTAGTCAGTACACTCTCCAGTACAAAGCAATATTGTTATGCATACAATTTTACTCTGATAGAAAATTATGTTATGTGATCTTCATAGAATGAATTTCTGGAGAAAAAACCCTAGTACGAAATTTAAATATTCTACAACGCTCCAAAGCTCTCAAAACAAATTAACTGAATCATAGAATGCCTAAAGTGTGAAAGCAGGCCATTCGGCCCATCGGGTTCACATCAACCCTCTGAAGACCTACCGTGTAACCCATTTCCCGTGGCTAATCCACCTAGCCTACACAGCCCTGGACACTATGGGTAATTTAGCACAGTCAATCCTGTCTCAATCTAACCTGTGTATCTTTAAACTCTGGGAGGAAACTGGAGCACCCAAAGGGAACCCACACAGACACGGGGAGAATGTGCACAAACTCCACCCAGACAGACAGTCACCCGAGGGTAGAATTGAACCCGAGTCCATGGTGCTGTCAGGCAGCAGTGCTAACCACTGCCCTTGGCATTCTCTAAGAAGTGATTCTGCAGATAAATTTCCAGCTATGAAGCTACATTTTCCTTCCATATGTGACTATCAACTGTGATCAAAGTTCTGTCAAAGACTACTTGTAATCATTGCCCATACTACTACAGAGATGAAGAACAAGTTGGAAATGAAACTCCCTCCCAGTTAAGAGACAGCCAGACACCCAGACACCACCTTAGTGCTCCAAGCCTTGCCAATCCCATGCTCGCAGAAAATAGTCTCCTACCTCCCTCATTTCTAATATCTTCTCACCATCCTCCCTCATTTCTATTATCCTCTCAGCATCCCAGCAAAAGCGTTCTATGTTCCATCAATACCCACTGTTACCAGTTTGTTGAACATCTTTTCCCATACTAGGTATTCCACCTTTACTAACAGTTTGAATGCCACTTAACCCACACACTTCACTACTGCCAGACTCAGGAATAAAATAAAAGGCCTAACTCAACATTTCAACTGTTGCTGCCATCTCTAGTTTTCACCGCTGAAATATTTGTTTATCCTAAATTACGCCAAGTAATTCCAAACAGATACAAGCTCGATAGTTTGGTGGAGAAACTTTAGGTTCTTGCAGTATTATGATATATGGCAGCATTCATCCCACTCTTGGTGCATGCGTGGGCTTAAAATATAGTTAACACAAAATATTATGCACATACACAAATGAAGAAATGTAACTAGGCCAATACTGTGCAGGTTTGATTAAATAAAATTGTCAAAAATTTCCAAATCACCAATGTAAGTCCCAGCCCATTGTTTATAAATAAAATCAAATTCAATCATCATGTCGAGTTGACAATAAAGTGGCATTAAGTAGCATAATCTTCCAGAGATAACCTAAATAAAAAAGCAAGGCAAATACAAAACAGCAAATTTCGCACTCTATTTCTGATGGCAAGATGGATGATCTAAGAATATAAATCAGCAGTAGCTATTTAGTCCGAGATAGTAAGAACTGCTGATGCTGGAGTCTGAGATAATATAGTGTAGAGCTGAAGGAACACAGCAGGCCAGGCAGCAGAGGAGCAGGAAAGCTGACATTTCGGGTTGGGACCCTTCTTCAGAAATGGGGGAGGGGAAGGGGGCTCTAAAATAAATAGAGAAGGGGGTTTGGGCTGGGGAAGGTAGGTAGGATGGTGATAGGTGAGTGCAGGTAGGTAGTGGTGGGGATTGGCCAGTGAGGTGGGAGGAGCGGATAGGTGGGAGAGAAGATGGACAGGTCAGGGAGGCGGGGGTGGGAAGGAGGGTTGGTCTTGGGATGAGGTCGGGGGTGGGGAGATTTTGAAGCTGGTCAAGTCCACATTGAGACCATTGGGTTGCAGGCTCCCAAGTTTCCGAGTGGCGTCGTTGTGACTCCGGAGGAGGCCCAGGATGGACGTATCGTCCAGGGAGTGGGAGTGAGAGGGGGAGTTGAAGTGGTTCACGACTGGAAGGTGTTGTTGTTTAGTCCCTTGCGCTTACTCCACCAATCAATTAATTTGTGGCTGAAATCTGTACTTCCACGTAATTTACACACATTAGCTTCATAACCTCAAAATCTTGACCCAACAAAATTTAACTGAGTCTTGAAAACATTAACTGTCCTCACATTCAAAACTATCTATGTCAGAGAAATCCAGATAACTAGTTACTACCATCCTTTGCATGAGCAAATAATCAAAAAAGCCCAATGTGTTTTACAGAAGTGTGATCAAAAAATGTGGTATTACGTCAAACATTAGGTCAGATAACGAAAATCTTAGGCAAAGCGAGACATTTTAAGAACCCTCCTAAAAGAGCCTGAAATGCTGAGGGACGGGATTCCAGAGCTTTGGGCCATGGTAGCTGAAGGCATAACTGCCGTAGAGAAACGACTAAAATCAGGGATTTTCAAGCGGCTGGAATTGGAGGAGTGCAGATATTGCTGAAGGTTATAGCCCTGGGAGAAACTAGAGCGATAGGGAGGGTGGGGCCATGGAGGAGGTGATCATTTCAGTATTGCGATATTTCTTAACCATAAACAAATGTGTGCAGGGATGATGGCTTAACAGAACTAGATGAGAGTTAGGAGAGGCAGCAGTTTCAGATAGCCTCAATTTCATGAAGTGCAGAAAAGGAGTCAACACCATGACAGCAAGTAAGAAACAAAGTGCAGTGGAGTGTAAGGTAGACGACCATGAAATCCGGAATTTAGTGCAAGGCCAGAAAGGTGCTCCTTTTTCTATATTTCTTTAGCCTCCAGTAGCTGACATAAGCCTAAAAGAGGCTGAAATGCTGAGGGACGGGATAGAAATAGAAGTTAACTCTCAAAGCTGTTTTGATGTTTAAAAATCCTTTGAAAAACCATGGTGGTGAGTCTGGGGGCTCAGGGCTGTCTGAAGAAAATCAAAATATTGTATAACAGAACAGAAACGATTGAGTGGTGAGCATTGCGTCTTTGTCTCTTATCAAAAGCAGGGAATTTTAATTGTGAATACAAACACAAGGCAGTAATTAAAAATTAAGAAAGTGATTAATTCATTACAATAAGGAAGGCAGGACAGGTGATGTGTTGCAGCTGTATTATATGGTTGCTGGTGTATGCCGGTGTGATCTCTGGCCATTACAACTAAAGTCAAAGTCGCCGTAATCTCACCAGACCATTATCAGAGAGAGATGACTAATGATGGTTTAAGCTGAGGATCACCACGTCTCAGATGATGGCAGAGGTTGAGAAGGAGAATCCTACATGATGACTTCAGCCGATGCAGGAATTGAACTTATGCTGTTGGCATCACTCTGCATTGAAAATCAGCCATCCAGCCAACTGAGCTAACAGACGTCCACAGTTAAATTATGTACAGCTCAAGTGACTTCAGTTCAGTGTTAGTGAGATGGAGATCGAGCTTCGGACAATGCGATGCATCAAGGAGGGGAGAGTTACCTGGATACTTTGTTTTAGAAGGCAGTCACATTCTCAGGCTAACGTCTTTGAATTTGGTCCACAGTCAATGTGACTGTGATTGAGGTGGCCATGAGAGTTGAGAAGGTAGAAGTGGAACAGCCTCATCTCTTGCAATTATTCAACAGGATTGAGGTTCTGACACTCCACTACTTAATGATGCCATTAGAACTATAGTGAGAGATGACCTTTATACAGAAATTGAAGGATGTAGAATCAGTTTGAGGTAAGAAATTGTAAAAGGTGAAAGACATTTGTGGGAGTAGGTTTTGGAAATCTAACTCTCACTACCCTGTAGAGTAGAGTATGAGGGAAGAAACATTGAAAACCTGTAAGAAAGATATGGTGATAATCATGGATGATTTTAACATTCACATAGATTGGACTAATTAAGTTAACAAAAGGAGACTGTAGGAAGTATTTAGGACAATTTCTTAGAGCAGTAGGTTCTATTGCCAACCAGAGAGAAGGCTATTTTTGGCCATATATTTTGTGCAATGAATTAGGATTAATTACCTTGCAACTTCTGGGCAAGTCACAGAAGTGCAGAGAGGAGCCATGTGGCCCATCATGCCTGCACCAGCTCTTCAAATGTGCATCATTACTTACTGCCAACTTCTTGATTTTTATCCCTCTACCTTACTCATCATTTCTATCCGAATAATCATCAATACTCTCTTGAATGCGTCAACAGAACTGGCTTCCACCAACTTCCAGACAGAACATTCTATACCCTAGCCACTCGCCATGTGAAGAAGTTTCAACTTGTATTATGTTTGCTCTTTTTGCAAATCACATTGATCAAAAGCATGCATGCAAACTGGCTGCAAGAATGAAAAAAAAGTTTCTCACCTCAATCTGATGTTGATGGCTGTGGAATGACATTGCATTATCCCTAGTAGAATCTTTGATTGGTGGTCGGCTATGTTTTCCATCCGATAAGGATTGCTCCAGCTGCAAACATGATGCAGAAATTATGTGTACAGTAAAAATGGGATCAAACTTCAAGTAGTATACCTTCTGTATCTGACATAACAAATTCAAACCAATATGCATTTTTAAAAATGCTAAAAACTATTTGGAGTCATAAAAATGAAGTCACATTAGTAGGGTTCAAAAGACATGGTAATGGGATGTGTAACAATGAAAAATTAGCAAGGATAACAGGGAGTGGTGGCAATGTCACGAATTAATAATTCAGAGGTCCAGACAAACACTTTGGGGATAGGAGTACACAGCATACTCTTGGCGGGGAACTTCAACGTCCTCTACCAAGGAGCAGTTTGATAGCACCGTAGACCAATCTGGGAAAAGTTCTAAAGGACACTGATGCTCAACTGGTTTTGAGGCATGTGGCAAGAGAAATAACAAGGAGGAAAAATCTACTGGACCTCATCCTCACCGATCTACCTGTTGCAGTTGTATCTGTCCCTAAGAATACTGGTTGGAATGACCACTGGAGATTTTATCGAGACAAAGTGTTAACTTTCACTTTGATGATGTCCTCCATTGTGCATGCTCCACAATGTTAAATGGAATCATGTAAAAACACATCTAGCAATTCAAAACTGTACATCCATGAGGCATTGTGAACCAACAGTATTCAATTCAACTACAAACTGCAAACAACTTGACAGTCCAGCATATCTTTCATTCTAACATCATGATCAAGAAATAATTAACCTTTATTCAATCAAAAAATAACCTGCAGAAGGGCAAGCCAGGAGCAGCACCAACTACACCTAAAAATAAGGTGTCAACCTGTTGCATGTACAACAGTTGTTTGTCAAACAGAAGCAGCAGTTTGCAACACACAGATCTGAGCATTTCAACGGATCAGATCTAAGCTGTGCATTCCTGCTACATTCGTTGTCATTGTGGTGGAAAGTTAATCAAACAGGAGGAGACTGCACAATATCTTAAATGGTGGGGGAACCCCAGCACAAAAGTTACGACTGAAATATCCGGAGCCAACTTTAGTCAAAATGTTGAGTGGATGATCCATCTTGGTCTTCTGAGGTCCACAGCATCAGAAATCTTAAACTCCAATCCATTCAATTGATATCATGATGAATGAAGAAATGGTTGAAGGTATTGGAAGCTGCAAAACTGGAATCAAAGGGAATCATGGAAAAATTCTCCACTGTTTGGAGTCATACTTAACACAATGAAAGATGTTTGTGGTTGCAGAGTCGAGCATTTCAGCCATAAGACTTCACTGCAGGAATTCCTCAGGGCAGTTTCCAAGGTGTAAACATGTTCAGCTCCTATATCAATGACCTTCCCTCATCGTCAAGTCAGGAGTAGGGATATTCACTGACAATTGCACAACTTTCGGCAGCATCTGCAACTCTTCAGATATTGAAGCAGTTCATACCCAAAGGCAGGAAGGTTAGGATACAGGCTTGAGCTGATGAGTGGCACGTAAGATCTGTGCCACATAGGAGATGGGCAATGACAATTTTCAACAACTTAGGAAGCTGACCATCACCCCTTGAAATTCAATTGTATTGCTATCACTGAATCCCCCACTATCACCATCCTGAGCCCAAAACTGCCTCAAATGTAGTTAGATCATCACTCACATAAGGGGACCAAAACAGTGTGCAGCTTAAATAGAAGAAACCATAAAGCTTCTAAACTTAAATCCCGATAGATTCTGTGTTCTCCAATAGAATGTCATATTGACAGGGGTATAGATATTGAAAAACCATTGCTCAGCACTTAAGATACCAAGTAGATTGATTGCACTGGATGCATAGAAGCAATAATCTAAATGAAAGACTTTTTATGTTTGGATAGACAACCAGCCATAAAATTCTGATTGTTTGACCAGACCAGAGGGTGGGAATTTTGCAGTAACTCACCTCCCGATTCCCAATACCTGTCCACCACCTACAAGGCACAAGTCAGGAGTGTGATAGAATACTTTCACTTCCCTGGATGAGTGCAGCTTCAACAATCAAGAAGCTCAACAGCATTCGGGACAAAATAGGTACTTGAATAGCACTCCATCTACCTCATCTACTGATGCAGTGGTAGCAATATGTAGCCTCCACAAAATGCACTGCAATAACTCACCAAGGATCCTTAGACAACATCTTTTAAAACTACGACCTCTATCATAGAGAACGATATATGCAGCAAATAAGGGGGAACACCACCACCTGCAAGTTCCTTTCCAAGTGACACACCATCTTGACCTAAAAGGTCTATAAGTATCCTCCACTGTTCACTGGGACAAAATCTCCTGAATTTCCTCCATAAAAGCGCTGTGTGTACAACTGCACTACATAAACTACAGCAGTTCAAAAGGCAGCTCAACACTACGTTCTTGAGGACAAATAGGGAGGGTCAGAAATGCTGGCTTAGCCAGAGACGCTCAGAACCTGTGAATGAAAGAAAAAAAAACCCACATATCTTTTATTCAATTGCCAGTTTCCTGGAAGCTTGTCAAACATGATCTTCACAGAGTCACACAGTCACAGACCCTCCGGTCCAACTCGTCCATGCTGACCAGATATCCTAAATTAATCCAGACCCATTTGCCAGCATTTGGCCCATATCCCTCTAAACCCTTCCTATTCACGTACCCATCCAGATGCCTTTTAAATGTTATAATTGTACCAGCCTCTACTACCTCATCTGGCAGCTCATTCCATACATGCATCATCCTCTCTGTGAAAAAGTTACCTCTCAAGTCCCTTTCCCCTCTCAACGTAAACCTAAGCCCCTCTAGTTTTGGACTCCCCTACCCCTGGGGGAAAAACCTTGTCTATTCCCCCTATTCATGTCCCTTATGATTTTATAAACCTCTGTAAGGTCACCCCTCAGCCTCTGACACTCGAGGGAAAATAGTCCCAGTCTATTCAGCCTCTCCCTACACCTCAAACCCCTCCAATCCTGGCACATCCTTGTAAATCTTTTCTGAACCCTTTCAAGTTTCACAACATCCTTCCTATAGCAGGGAGACCAGAATTGCACATAGTATTCCAAAAGTGGCCTAACCAATGTCCTGTACAGCTGCAACATGACCTCCCAACTCCTATACGCAATGCACTGACCAATAAAGGTAAGCGTACCAAACACCTTCTTCACTGCCCTGTCTACCTGCGGCTCCACTTTCAAGGAACGATGAGCCTGCATTCAAAGGTCTCTTTGTTCAGCAACAATTCCCAGGACCTTACCATTAACTGTATAAGTCCTGCCCTGATTTGCCTTTCCAAAATGCAGCACCTCACATTTATTTAAATTAAAACCCAATCTGCCACTCCTCGGCCCATTCGCCCATCTGATCGAGGCCTTGTTGTACTCCGAGGTAACTTCCTTGCTGTCCACTACACCTCCAATTTTGGTGTCATCTGCAAACGTACGAACCATACCTCCTGTATTCACATCCAAATCGTTTATATTAAAAAGCAGTGGACCCAGTACCAATCCTTGAGGTACTCCTCTGATCACAGGCCTCCCCACTGAGATGAATGTTAACATTGCATTTGTCTTTCTAACTGCTGCCATGTTAACCTGAAGGGAATCCAGAGTCCCTTTGTGCTTCAGATTTCTGTAGCCTTTCCCCATTTAGAAAATAGGTTGCACACAGTCAGAGTAGGAGGAGGCCAATCAGCTCACTGAACCAATACTAGCTATCTTGCTCCAAGAAATCTCTATATAATCAAGTTTTAAAAAGGCAAAGGCAGAGGAAAACAGTGGGAAGACCTAATACTGTAAGAAGTACAATGAGTTAGTGAATGTCCTCTTAAAATTAATCAAGGTTTCTCCATTACTGGGATTAAAGACTGTTTATTTTCCATGAGGAAAAGTCCTCTGCAATCGAATACAAGCTCCAGATCAGGTCTGTTTATGTACAAATGTGGAAAAGACATGGAACAAAAAATTTAAGCTTCTTCGCAGGATGTTGTAACTGATGTCATTATACCTGGTTTAAGGTAGAGGACTTGGGCAATGCACCAAAGGGCTTTTGCTGCTTATGGAACATTTTCCAGCTAGCTCATGACATTGAAGACAAACTAGAAAAGTTAAAAACAGTAGTCATCTACGCAAACAAAAATGTCTTATTCTCATTTATCACATTTATACATCTAATATAATCCACATGGTATCTTAACTGCTAAGCAATAATATGTGTACACATAAATATCAAAATCTTTTAAAAGATCACGGATTTAAGTTAGTAGCTTGATAGTTTCTTCTATTTACGCTGCTGAGTTTTGGTCCCCTTAAGGGAGGGATTTAGCTGCATTAGAGGCAATTCAGAGAAGGTTCATTTGGTTAATTTTAAAAATGAAAGGCTTGTCTTATGGGGAGAGATTCAGCAGTTTAGGCCCAAACTGCTAGAGCTTAGAAGGATGAAAGGTGATTTAACTGAGGTATAAAAGATTCTAAAGGGAACAATGGGCAATCTAAAACGAGAGGTCACAGTTTCCGGCTAAGAGACAGTAGATTTTAAAAAGTGATAAGGAGGAATTATGTCTCTCAAAGGATCATAAATGTGAATTTACTATTCCAGAGTATTTTAAGGAGACATTGATTTTTAATTAGTAATGGTGTAAAGGGTTATGGGGAGCAGGCAGGCAAGTGGAGTTGGAGTTGACGTTGATGTTGACGTTGACATGAGATTAGCTGCGATCATGCTGAATGGCACAGCATGCCTATTCCTGCTCCTCGTCCTTATGCTCTAAACTATATTTTGGGCCAAACATAGCAGCGGAGGACAGCTCCTGAGCCACTCCAACCACTTTTCTTGCTTTATTTTTCAGATTTTCTTTTCACTACTTACTTTCAGGAGGGAGCTCAGTCATGGAGCCAGCAGCAGTGACGACAGTGGCTGGGGGCTTTGGCAGTCGGCCACAAGGTGTACCCAGGCAGAACTCTTAACAGTCGGCGACATCACGGTTTCTTTGCGGTTCAGAGCGTGGAAGCGGCTGGGAGCCTGG